CGCTTGCAGCTATTTGAGAGAATTGGTGGGTTATTTTCCTTTAACCGATCCTACATCCTCTAGAAAAGTCCACACAGAATTGATTCAGGTTCACATGAGGGCAATAGGCAAGTCCATTTTGTTGCAAGGAAAAGGGCGAACACTAACCTTTCATGAAAGACAGTCAAGTGCAAAGCCACTTCATTGTGGATCAGTTGAAGCTTAATCTTCTACTGAATTGCACTGCTTTGCCTTGGATGAATTTAGAACCAGGCTGCGGAAGTCATTCAAAGCATATATAGAGAAGTCATCTGAGCTGCATCTTTTGTCTACTATACAGGTCATTGAGAGATCTCTAGTAGGTATTCTAGAAGGATGTACTGTGATTTATGATGTAAAAACAAGTAAAGATGGGGAGGAAATTTTGTAAGTTGTGGCAGGTGGCATTGATTGCTTCAGAATGATTCTTGAATTTGTTTCAGGTAAATAAGAACATGGCTATTTTGAACTAACATTTCTTTTAATCATTTAATTAAATTCTGCAAATTACATCCTTTATTTTGTATCCTTTTAGTTGTACTTAAAGTCATTACATGAATACTATATTCCGATTCACTTTAGAAATTTTGTAAATTTCAGTTGATATTAACTAAAATGTTATTACAGTTTTATTCAGAAAACAAATCTGCATGCTTTTCCTTATGAAAGTCATTTTTAGATAATGGTTAACTCGCTCACTGATATGTTATGTTGTCTTTGACATTACTTTTTGGGAATCGTAACATTGCCTATTACTTAAAAACATTGTCCTGAATTCATTCCTTTAATCCTTAAAGCAAACCTAAATTGACGAGTACCTGGTTATCAAACAAAGACTATCGCATGTTGGATGGAATCAATGCAAAATGGTGAATAAGGCAATACATTCATATTATCATTATTTAATGACAACTTTTTCTTTTTGAAGGTCGGAAAGGCTTGAAGATGATTAAAAGACACAGTCAGAATTTAGTATCTGCTGTTTTCAACATTATTGTGCATTTACAGACCCTCCTTATTTTTTATGATAACTTGGCATCTGGAACAGATGTCAGTACTCCTGATCCTGGGTCAGCCATTCTCATGGGTGTTGAAGTACTGGTTACAGTTTCTAGAAAACAGGCTCAATTCCCAATGGATGTGGGTCAAATATTACATATCCCTGCCGTACTCTTTCAGAATGTTTGTCAGTTTAGAGTTACTAAAGCGCCTGGTCCATCAGAACCATTGATGATTTCAGAAAAGCATATTTGTGATCCAGTAAAGAGAGTGGGCCACGTTGATCACCAGTTCTTAGTTAGCCTCTTCATTGTGTCTTGTCAACTATTGTGTACCATTATTATGCATCGTCCAAGGTTTGTTTTATTTTATCTTGTAAATCGCTCAACAAAGTACAGCTTCTCATTATTGAACGGCTTGAAATGACACATTTGCTATGGAATATATATTTGATGTATTTTGATAGCATCTATCTGCAATGTGCTATTGTAATCTTGACAATTAGATATTCCTTTGCCTTATTGTTAACCACATCTTGTGCATTTTTTACAATCATTCCAGTGAGTGCATACAGTGTGTTGCCCATCTTGAAGCTTCTGTTGCTGTTCTTCTTAATTGCTTGGAGACAGTTTCTGATGATGAATCAAAAATGAATAAGGGTTGCTTTTCTTCAGATGAGGAATTAAAATGTGCCTGTTTTATGAGAAGAATTTATGAAGAGGTTTGTGACATCCATATTTAAATGAATTATGGCCTTAATTTAACAAACTAATCTCCTTTTGCTTACACCCGTTTGTTTTGGTATTCATGATGCAGATAGAACAGAAAAAAGATATCTTTAGTCGTCAATGTTCTCTGTTTTTATCCAATTACATACGGGTTTGTTCAGGATATGGTCCCAAGAGAAGTGGCATCAGAAGGTTTATTTACGTCTCACTGTTTAGTTATTTCATTCTGTCAAAAGTTTACCAGTTGAGGATTATTACATTTCCATCAAACTGCAGAGCCCCTTTTCTGTTTGATTTTCTTATTAAGCGTTGTCCTTCTGAAAATGCATCTAAATGCCTAGAACAATTCATCTATATAATGTCTGTCTTGCTCATACATATCTTTGAACTGAATAGCAAGTAGAAAGTATTAATAGAGTGATGTAGATGACCATAACCATTACAAATATTAATTATTGCATAGTTAATTACAGAGAAGTAGATGAAGCTCTACGACCGGGTGTCTATGCTTTAATAGATGCTTGCTCAGTTGATGATCTTCAATATCTTCATACTGTTTTTGGAGGTAAGTAATTACGACTCAATCAGATTTTATGAAAGGAATTAAAAGAACAACCTAATTTCAATTTTGTTTTTGTAGAGGGACCTTGCAGAAACACCCTGGCCAGTATTTTGCATGATCGCAAACTCAACAAATACGAAGGAAAAGTTTGATCTTGAAATTTTATTTGCTGATAGTTTTTTTGTGTACTCCTCTTTTGGCTGAGAGCAAGCTATTCTTACAACTGGAAATTATGTGATTATTTTCCCGAGGCGGAGACGTTACCAGATTCTACGCACGCACGGTGAGAAGATACATCTGCCAACATGCTTAAGAAATTGGCTATGTATCAACTGGGTCGATGTGCAACACTATTCTGGTCTAGGGACGATAATCTTTCCATGTTCAATATTTACACCTGTGCATGAAAGATCAATGTATTCTAATTACTTTATAATGAACCCACTGTTGGATAAATTGAATTTTAGTCAATAAAGTAATACTTGAAAGGTTTATGATAGCATTCTTTTCATGAGTTAGGTAAAATCCAAAATCAAAAATAATAATAAAAAATTATAGTAGATTAATTTATGTTTTTTTGGTAGTGTTATAATTTTTATTGGATAATAAATTATTTTATAATTTTATTAATTTATTGTTTTAATGATATACTGTGCTGTTTGTAGAATTTATATGGATATTTTTGTGTATTTTTAATGAAAAACTTGTAACTTGGTTGGGGTTTGTTAGTGTGGTGCATTGGTAAGGATTCAAACCTAACTAACTTTTGCGCATGTATTTTTTTTATAAAGTTTACTTTTTATATTTCTTAATATATATTTAACTTTTAAAATTTTTTGGTTGAACACAACTGCAAACCCAAATTTTTGTAGATAAAACTACAAAGCTTTTTTTTTGTGGATAAAACTACAAAGCCATATCATATAATATTCTTCCCTAACAATTTTTAAAGTTGTAAACCTCTTTCATACGATTTTTTGATGACAAACTCTTCGTAAATTTTACCAATAAAACTACAAATCTTTCTTAGTAATAGGTTTTGTTTTAACTACACTATCGCCAAAATCAGAATGTTTATCACCTTGGGTGGAAATTTTTCTCTGTGAATTATTTTGATGGTAACATTTTGTCCGTGAGTTGCGTGTTTCACTCCCTCTTCTTCCAGGTTTCACACAATTTGTAACATCCAATTTAGTAATATAAACTACTAAAATGAATCTTACATTAATAATGATATAACAGAATTACAGATCTTTTGAAGAATAAAATTCTTCACCTGAAGAATAAGAGTAGAACCTACTTTGCAAGCTTCACTCCCAACCTCCCGCTAAGTCAACTAAAAGATTGTATCCCTAAGCTCACACCATTAAGGTAATCATCGCAATAGAAAAACCACAAACAAAGACAGAGCACAGAAAATACAAGGGTGAGCTAGTTTACAATTGAGAATATATATATATATATATATATATATATATAT